CTTCTTGGAGTCTCTGAGTCTGCTGCTGTTTTGTTCCTTCAGTTTTGCTTCACTGTTATACTCCACAAATGAGGGAAATCATTTGGCACTAGTCTCTCTCCTCCTGGCTTATTTCACTGAGCATAATACCCTCCAGCTCCATCCATGTTGTTGCAAATGGTAGGATTTCTCTTTCTTATGTTGAGCCAGTAGGTTTTGAGGTAAACTGTGAGATGTTTAAAGCAAGACTGACTCAAGGCTCCCGATGGCGGGCGCAATGGTCACGACGTGTTTGTTCACCATGGCGTCTTCAGGCACACAAATGCCGTGGACAGCCCAACCACTCAGGAAATACTTCCTAAATGAGTGTTTAATACTCGCCAACCCAGGGAAAAGAAAGGCAAAGGCCCGACTACATGGGTATTTGTCCTCCTTCTTGCCCAGAATCCAGCTATGCTTATTTTGGGAGAATCCCAAGACAGATAAGAAACAGAGGCTCTATCAGTCAGGATCCCATCAGGAGAAAACATGCTTAATTTGTAATTTTAACAGTGATTTAATGTAAAAATTATGAACTACAACAGGTGATCGGAGTAAAGAGAAACTGGCTAGTAAGAAGTAAGAACTCTAAAGACAAAGCAGGCATAAGGGGCAGCCACTGTCCTCAGGGCTGAGGAAGAGGTCCAAGGAAGAGGCTCTCCACTGAAGGGCTGAAATCTAGACTGAGTTGGAGAGGGCATGGTCCAATTTACACAATAGCAGAGAAATTGCTGCATTGCCACACTGGCAGAATTTGCGGAAAATCTGCCTTGTAGGGCACCCGGGATAGCGGTTCACGGGGAAGTGTCTCAGCAGGACTCTACTACAAAACTGCCTCAAGGGGGAAGGAGGGGAAGCAGCAGGTCCTGGGGCTGCTCACTGCAGGGCGCTGCGGGAGGCAAGGGAGAAACCAGGAAGGAAAACCCGTTTCTGATCATGTCCCTAGTGCCCCTGCTGACAAAGCTCAGTATCATGCCTGCTGTCAAAGGAAGGATATAAGGAGCCCAGATGCATTTTTGGAGAGCAGACAATGAAGTATGAATTTAGAGCTAAAAGGTAGTAAATTGATTTAACTGACACAATCTGGTTCAAACATCCACAGAAATTCTACAGCTCAGGCACATTTTGCTGAAGGTGGCAAGTGCCAGTTTATCCCTGGCTTGAGACAAGTATGAAAACATAAAAACTAATTAATGGTAGTTAACTCCAACAGGGAGAAGTCTCAAGCTCACGTCGGATAGCCAAGTAGTTTACAGGAAGGCATACAAAAGGCCAGGTATATGAAAAAACAAATCCCTGGAAAAAATAAAACCACCTATTTTTTTAATTGAACCACAGTATAAGCATATAGCATATAAAATTTATAATTCTGGATATTTCAAAGATAAAATTTAAAAATAAACATTAAAAAATAGAAATCTTTAATTATTAAATTTTTCTTTCATAACCTGTTATTGCTTTGACTTGGAACCAGAAACCAGACATCTTTTTTTTTCTGCACCAAGATGTCAATGTCTGGCCACATATTTCCAGTTGCAATGTGTAGAACTGAATTCAATCTTGTATCCTTTAACTGGGATCAAAATTTAGTTTTACTCAATTTCTTAACAGAAAAGAGTTGTTCACAGACATTGGTGCTTCCAAACATGGACAGAATCTTTGCACAATGGTTTCTACATCTGGGGTAACTCTTGCTGAGGGATTCGTAGAATTCCATTCCAGTGTCATATTTTGTTTTCAGTACTGTCTTACACTGCAGTTCAATAACTCACATTTGTAATTCTTCATTAACACTACCAATGTTAATTGCGAAAGATGAGCAAAATAACCTAAGTTCATTTTTATAATGTTTGAAATCAAAGAACCTTTTTTGGAATCCAATCTTCAACTCCACAGTTTTGGGGATGTATATTAAGCCATCAGTTTCATTTCTGAAAACTGATTTCAGTGTAGGAAAGTGAGCCAGATTATTTACTGCCAAATGAGTTTCCCAAAGATTCAGTTTTGCTAGGAAAGAGCAAGCTGAATCATACATTGTGTTATGACTTGCGAACGTCTTTGCAGAGAAATATTCAAAGTGTTTAGATGGTTTGTAATGTCTACCAAAAAGGCCAGGTCTCTGATCCAATCTTCCCTGGTGACTTGGGGAAGGGATCTGCCCTTGGATGACATGAGTAAGTCTCTCTCTTTTATCAATTCAAAAAATCTCTTCAGTACCGTGCCCTGACTAAGCTGCCTTACCTTTGTCTAGTAAAGGGGATCACCATATTGTGCATTCAGTTCCTCAAGCAAGGCACTGACCTGCCTGTGGCTGGAGCCATGGGAGCATATCCAGTTCACTGTCTTAATCACTCCAACCATGACATGTTCTAGTTCTAACTTTTTAGTACAAAACAATTCCTGGTGAATAATTCAGTGAATGGATTTAAGTTCTACATCCTTGAAAAGCATTTTGACCTTGGATTTAAGTGTTGCAACAAGTGGTCCTGTGTTATCAGACCATTGCAGCAGCACCATCTGTGGTCACACTTACTAATTTTGACCAGTCAGCATCAAACTTTTCAAGACTTTTCCCAACATACAAAAACAAGTCATTTTCCAATGTTGGATAGGCATGGGTATTATATTGAAAAGTTCTTCAGTGATGTCAAAATTCTCATCAACACCAGGGATAAATATAATTAACTGGCTTGTATTCTTTATATATATGTACTCATCAGCTGCAATAGAAAATGTCACAATTGATTTCACTTTTTCTTGCAACTTGTAAGTTCTCAGCCATATCTTGTACCCACTGAACAATAGTGTTTACGGTTAGACTTATGTTTGCAAATGCTGGTTTCTGTTCAGGACATATGATTTCTGCTGCGCTCAACAGACAATCTTGTATAATCTCACCATCTGTGAAAGGTTTGGATGCCTGGGCAATTTTTTCACTTACTGTATAAATGCATTTCATAGCAGCATCAGTTATTTGCATTCAGTGATAAATGCTGTAGAAAGTTTAGTCCTTTGTTTAGTTCATTAAGTTTTTCACCACACATCTTTTGCTGTATACCAGTCAAAATTCTATGGTTTGTGGGGTAATGATGTCTTAAGTTGTATTATCTTGACACATAAAGTTTGAGATCTTAAACACACAGGACTATTTTTTATTTCCATAAAGAAATATACTTGCTCCCACTTTTCTTGAAATGTGCTATGCTCTCTCTGTCTTCTGTCTTCCCACTTTTGTTAGAGACATAGGTACAAAAAGAGAGTTCAATTTCTTTAATATAAGAGAAACAACAGCACAAGTCTAATGAAAAATGGTAACTGACACTGCTTTTGAGGAGCAACCACAGACCCATTGTCACCAGATCTTCCTAATTTTGAAGCAAAGCCAGACATTGAATTTTAACACAAAATCAGCTGACTTTTAGGTGTTGTAAAATAAAGCAAAAATGTTAAGACACCGTGAAGAACAAAGAGAGTATGTTTCAGGATCATGAATAGCCCCTGGGCACAGCATGGCCTGTGTAGTCCCACTCACCTCTTAGCACGCGGCCAACCCCTTCCAGGGTCATCAGAGCTTCTACCCCACACTGACCCAGGGCGACTTCATCCTGCAGAGGAGAACCTGCCAGAAACACGACCTTACCTTCAGCGTTGAGGCCCTCCAGGGAGGCTGCATGGGCCTAGGGAGGGAAGAGAGTCAGGAGTGTTCTCTAAGGAAGCCACAGGAGAACGGGCGAAAGGCACGATGGGTTAGGGACGCTCAGCGATACACTATTTTCTTTACCTTGATCTGGACAACTGTCTCCAGGCCGGTCACTTCAAGAGTGTGCAGCTCCCGGGCGCGGACAAACAGCTGCATGTCAGCGACTTGAGGACAGAGAGGACTGAGGTCAGCAGCTGGGAGAGGCAGGCGGAGGGGTGGGGGAGCCCAGGACAGGTCGTGAGGCTGAGGGGCGCTTGTGCACAGGACAGCATCCTAAGGGAACCGTGGGGCAAAGCTGAGCGGAGCCCGCAGGAGGGGCACCTCGAGGCGGGCCACGCCTCCAGCCAGCCCAGGAGTCCAGCTCCGCTTCGCCGTTTCCCTGAGCCCTGCGTCGTCAGTCGGGCTTCATATTTCTCTTCTACCTGGATCTTACCTGGGACAATGCCTTGCGCCGCCGTAACCGTGAAAACCGAAGCCAGACGCTACAGAGATGCAGCGACAACACACCCGCCACTACGGAGGCATTGCGTCACTGCCCCGCGCCGCCTCTCACCACCCCCGCCGAGACCACGCCCCCGTTCTCACCGCCACGCCCCTCCGCGATCGGCGCAGGCGCGGGTGCCGTCCAGGGCGCTCACCGGCAGGGAGGGGCGGCGTGGAAGGGGTGGCCACCCCCGACCCACTGAAGTGGAAACGGTACTTTTTAAGGGCTGTGGGAGGCGGCAAATGGTAGGAGACGCTTAGCCTAGCAGGGACGAAAGGCCAGCTATTTATGGGGACCTCGGAGCCACGAGTCCTCCGCTGAAACCTAGGTTTTCTCATTCGAAATGGGCATCTCTGCTTTAGCACAGGTAGAACTAGAATGCAGAGCAAGAGAGGAGGTGGCGAAGGGTGCGCAAGACAGATCGTACGACGGCGAGGCTTCAGGTGAGGCCACGGTGTAGAGGTCTCAGCCGGAGAGGGAGAGGTCCCAAGTGGCCCCAACTAAGAGGCGGCGCACGTTGGGCTCCGTGGTTTCGCTGAGACGGGGGGAGGGTGGAGACTGAGTGGGACTGTCCAGGATCAGTGGGTCTCAGAGCCTCAGACTTCCAACCCACCCCTCCTTGCAGCCCCTTTTCCGTTGTAATCGTGAAGCCTAGTCCAGCATTGGGGTGTGGTGTTGGAAGGAAGTCCTCAAAGAGATCCTTAGGATAGTTATGTCATAGATTGTAGAAAAAAATCTAGCTCTGAACCGCAATTCAGAATTTACCAGCTCCTGACTAACTTTTCTGTGAAGCTGGGTAAAAAGAACTGCTACCTTGCAAGACTGCAAAAAATATGTATGGCTTTCACGGAGGACAGTGTTGGGTATGTCTCCATAAAATGAAAACTGGGAAAAGCCTGTCCCAGAAAGACAGATTTTTAAATATTGAAAACTTTAGATCTTAGTGTAATGGTTTAGACTTTGGAGTCAAACTGAGTTCATAATTTACAATCTTTTAAGTCCTTGGACATGTCAAATAATTCTTGTACCTCAGTTTTCTTACCTCAGAATGGAAATAATAGGACCTACTCATATGAGAATTGAGCGAGTGAATATATTTATACAGCATTTAGAACAGTGTTTGGCACAGAGTAAGTGAAATTATTGTTAATAAGTAAATAAAACAAATACCATGTTGAAATAGACCTGTGATCCAAACTTTTTTTCAGAATTCTTCAAATGCATCTTCTCACTTGAATCTCACAGATGGGAGAAGCAGACACATCAGAGCCCAATCATTTTTCAGCCTTGTATCCCACTGGTCTGTGGACTCCTGGCAAACTGAACCCAATGCCTTTTGATGTCCAGGCCTTTGCTCCTGCTTTGCTCCCTGCCTGGAATGCTCTCCTTTTACCTGTTGAGTTTCTGCTCCTCCTTGGAGGCCAGTGGCTGAGAGGAAAGTGCCTGTTTCTTGGCTTCAGACCCAGGAACTATCTAATCATCCTACCATGGCAGTCTGTGGCTGAGTGTTAGTCTGTGGAGCTCCTGCTGCCTCTGGAAGCATCTCAGAGCCCTCAGAATGTGCACAATGCCTCATCTTGAGTGGCACCTCCATCCTATGTGAGCCTAGGATATGAGGGTAGCTTGAAGGCTATGGGGGACCGTCTGGGCTACTGTGAGGGCAATAGTATCCTTCACCTTGGCCCATGGTATTTGTAGAAGGCCCTACCCCCACATTCATGTCTGCCTTCCTTAACTCAACCTGTGTGATCTGCCTAGTGGAAGTGACCTGTCGTGAGATCCCCCAGCTCTGACATCTGCCTCAGGCCTACAGTAGGGGTCAGAAGTAGAGCCCGCTCTGTCCCCGCTGCCCTTCTGCACTACTGGAGCAGGGCCTTTCCAGATGGAAGAAGTGAAGCACAGAGAAGATCCAAGTGCTTGATGCCCCCAGCGGGCTTGTGTTCTTGCCATTGCCTCCCTCTCCCGTCCCTGCTTGTGGTCTCTGATTCAAGGATATGTGGCACAATGAGAACACAGGCTTGGGAGTCAGTGAATCTGGGTTAGACTTTGGCCCAGCCATTCACTGCTGGTGTGACCTTGAGTTAGTCACTTAGCCTCTCCCAATCGATTTCAGCAAAATGGAGGTAATACTACATCTGACCTCAGAGGGCTGTTGGGAGGACAAAATGAAGATGCACATAAATCACTAAGAGGTCTGTTCTGTTGTTCCAGAGATTTATTTGAGCCTTCCTGGCCTAAAAAAAGGAGAGATCACCTTTGAGAGGGTCACCTTAAGACACAGGAGCTGTGGCCCTGGTTTCTTCATTTATACATCTATTCCTTCATCCATGTCATAGATACACATGGAGCACCTACTCCATGCCAGGCCCTGTGCTGCATCCTGGGGGAACAGAGTGAACCAGCTTGTCCTGATGTGGAGTCTGGAAGTGGCTTGGCCAGTTGGGTGCTGCCCCTCTGCAGACTCTTCAAGGAGACAGGTCCTCAGCTGTGGGGAGACAAAGCCTAGGGGAACTGGTGTCAGCCCTGCCCTTTGCAGAGCCCCCTCCCACCCAACCCACCCTGCTTTGTGGGGTGCTTCCACATGCACAGTGTCAGCCACCTTGTCTTCAAGTATCACATACAGCAAGCTGCAGATGAGAAAAGGGGAGACATCTAGCTAGTGGGTAGGTGGGTCAGACTTCTGGACTCTGCCTTTTCAGGACTGAGGGGGTGGGAACAGCCGGGCTGCCCTCCCTGCCCTCCAGGGGGATGATGCCCTGCACTGGGCCTGACGGGCCCCCTCCCCTCTGGCCCTGCAGGACTGCCAGGCTTCATGTCCATTACCCAAGTGAAAGAGGAGGTGGGGACCATGCTGGCCGAGAGCAGCTACCTCCTGGCTTCTGCAGTCTGGCCAGGCCTGCATTACAGTGCCCTCTGCACTGTAGACAAGCCCACGGGGGTTTGTCTAGAGGTGGTGGAAGAAGCAGTCTCTGAGCTGAGGGAGGTGCTGGAACCACAGTGCAGGGAGCACGGTGACTGGGATCCTTGGAACCAGTCCCCACCCTGAAAGGGATAGGGGAGGGAACTCACAGACGTGTCAGCAGTGGAGGGAGGAAGGTAGTGCCAGGGCCAATTGCTAAGTGCTTTCAAGGAGGGAAGTCTATGGATACCCACCAGAAGCAGCCAAGCAAGGGGTGGGGATGGCTGCTGGCACCCATGCCCAGTTCCTTCCTGCCTCATGGGCCCTGGGTGGGGCTACCAGCCTCTGTGTCTGGTGGAAGCATATATCCTAATCCAACCCCAGCAGGAGGAAATTTGGGCTCTGGGTGTGGTGCTTCCTCCTGGGCCACCTTGTCCCTATGATTTCCAAAAGTATGGCTGAGCCCCTGTCCTGCACCAGGCTGGGGCAGGGTGGGGCCCTCTGACTCAGAGATAGGCCTGAAGGACAGACGCGGTGGGCAAGGACCAGCCATGGTATACCCCCTACCCTATCTCTTCCACCTCAGATCCCCTGGTTTCCCAGGGCCCTTGGGCTGGTGCCTGGTGCAGGGCAGGTGGGGAGCAGCTCCAGGGGACCCAGGACAAGCATGTCCCCTCTCCATGGCTCTTCTGGCCTTAGCTCAGGTCCAGGGTGAGGTGCTGTCTTCCAGCAAGGTGAAGCTCTAAGGAAAGTGTCCTTTTCTCTTGTCTTTCTCTCCCAAGGCAGAAGGGGACAAGCCACCCACTCCCAGAGGGGGAGCCTGCAAGCAAGAAGGTGCTGACCCACCAGCTCCCCACCCTTTGCATTCACACCTTACCATGGTCTGAAGCTGAATCCTGGGGGAGAGGGGTGCAGCCGAGTATAGCTTTGTGGTCTCACAGATCTAGATTCAAATCCCACTACAGATAGTGAAACCCCTAATCTCTAAATGATGGCAATAGTTACAGATTAAAAAACAAACTGAGATATCACTTCACACCTACTAGGATGGCTGTTATACATTGTTGGTGGGAATGTAAAATGGTGCAATCACTGTGGAAAACAGAATGGCCCTATAACCCAGTGACTCCACTCCTGAGGACTGAAACCAGGCCTCAAGCAGACACTGGTGCAAGAATGGGGACATGACTCACAGGACTCGAGGTGGAAACCAATGTCCACCAGCTGAAAAATGGCTAAAGGAAGCAGGCTCTCCGTCCAATGGCGTATCATCCAGCCATAAAAAGAATGAAACCCTGACACATGCTACAACATAAACCTCGAAAACATTATGCTGAGTGAAAGAAACAAACACGGAAGGACAGTTATTGTAGAAATATCTAGAATTGGCAAATTCACAACCTAGATTAGAGGTTACTGGGGCTGAAGGGACAGGATTGGGAGCAGCTTGTTGAAGGATACAGTTCCTGTTTGGGGTGATGAAAGGGATTTGGAAATAGTGATGGTTGTACAAAATTGTGAATGTACTTAATACACAATTGAATTATACATTTAAAAATGGTTAAATGGCAAGTTTTATGTTCTGTGTGTGCACACAATAAAAATTTTTAAACATTAAAAAAGTAAAAGGCTGTATGGCCAAGCAGAATGTCTCCTAGCCACATTCAGCCTCCACTCTGAAATCTGCCCCGGGCACTGGAGGCAGGAGAGGCTGGGGGTAGAGCGGGGGTCTGAGATGCTTCAGGTCACGGGGGAAAGAACAGCAGAAAAATGGAAGAGAGACCACCAAGGCGTGGACTTGCCTCTTGTCCCCACGGTCCCGCCCCGCAGGCCCTCCTCCCTGCAGCGACTTCCTCTTTGTCCCTCCTGCTTAAAGTCCCCGGCAGCTCCCCACTGCCCCAGCTTCCGCCTCACAGCAGCACTGTTCTGACTCCACGCTGTTCCCCGTTTCCCAGGCCTGCCTTTCTTTAGCACCAAGTTCCTTGATGTCACAATTAACAGGTGGCAATTAGCAAATGCTACCCCTCCTTTTCTTAACCCTGCAGGGTAGGTTTGTTGACTCCATTTTAGAGATGGGGAAACTGAGTCTCCCACAGGCTGGGTGGGACTCGAAGGTCCATGTTCTTTTTGCCATGAGTAGGCTCTCCTCTGTCATCTGCTCCCAGGCTCTGTCTTTGCTTTTGCCCAAGCAGAATCCTGTCACTGGAGGAAAGCAGGTCTCACAGCTTTTCCTTCTTGTCCGTGTGGCTGCCACACTTCGGATAGATGGGCATCTTGGTGGACATTGTGACCTCACCACCCAGGCCTGGCTGCCCAGGCTGGAGACAGGCCACAGCCTCTGGCTGCCTCCCCTCACCACCTCAACCAGAAACCAGCTCTAGAGGGCGACTTTCTGTCTTCAAGGGCTAAGGGACTGCAGATGGTGGCAAACGGGCCACCACTCTCATTCCTAAGCCAAGGTGTCTTAATAAGGGGTTCTTGCAGCCAAGGCCGACCAGCTTCCTGCCCTTCTGTCTTCTGGCTCCCCTCCTTCAGCCCTACACACTGCATTTCCCCCAGGCTTGGCCAGGATTGGTGTCCCCTCCACCCCCTGGGAGCCCAGCTCTCCAGAGAAGACCTGTGCATCATGTAATGTGAGTTTAGGCTGAGAAGACCTACCAGGCCATGGCGTTTTAACGGCTCTGTGAGGTGCGGAGGCATACAGCCCCACGTAGGGGAGAATACCCTACCTCCTGGGCCAACTTTGCACACCTCCCCTCCTGCTTGCAGTGATCCTCATGGGACCTGGGCCTTTAAAGGAAGAGGTTATTGCAGCGATGAATAAGGGCTCCCTGAGGAGTCACAGATCCGGCTGCAGTCCAGGCAGTGGCATTCCAGGGGCAGACAGCATCAGCACTGTGGCTGGTGAAATGGCCTGTGATCCTCTGACCTCATTCTGGAGGGGTGAGAGGTAGCTGGGCAAAGTTGGGAGACGGGCAGAGGGGATCTCAGAGACTGAGGAGGCAGCCACTGTGCGCCGGCGCGGGGGCTTGCTTCAGATCACAGCACACTGTGCCTGCTGGATTCTGAGCTGGGGGGCTCCTGGGACCTTCCCTCCAGGTCCCAGACACCTGGAGAGTACAGGCTCAGACCCCTCAGTGCCCACACTCACTTCTCTTGCCCCCAGTCATTTTCAGTTCCTGAACCAGGGCGTTTGTTTGCCCCTCTCTTCCCACACCCCCAGGGCCGCTCCACAAGCTGACTTCTCCAGCCCAGGCCTCCTCCCCTTTAACCTCATGCACCCAGTCCTCCTGGAAGAGCCCCCCTGATCCGGGGAGGTGGAGAAGAGGGCAGGGGTGAGTTGACCCCAGGAGCCCTGGATGGAAGAGGAGGGTGGGGAGCACACCCGGGGGAGTGTGGCCACTGCAGGCAGGCTGCTTAGCCATGGGGTTCGGAACCCCCAGCTGTTCTCCTCTGATACCACAGGATTGGGCGGATCCACTGCCTGTGGCGCAGGGAAAGGGGAAGGGCGCTGCAGCAGCTAGAGCCCTTGAAAGCCCAGCCCCAGTCCCCCAAGGGGGTGAGGGAGAGGGCACTGGGGCAGGGGCTCCTGGCAGAGGCCCTAGGTGCCCCACCCTGACCTCTCTCTCCTAGGGACCCTGATGGGCGGAAGGGGAGCCGGAAAGCAGGGACGCTGCAGGGACTTGAACCCTGGCCCAGCAGTGCCAGGCGTGCCATCACCAGCGCCTTTTGCTTTTCCTGCTTGTTTTCTCACAGACTCAAAGGTGGAAAGCAAAACCTGGACACGGCCATGAGCCACGTCCAGTAAAAGAAACACCTGCGGCGGCTCAGCACCTCCCCCCCAGCTCTCTCCTCCCTCCCCTGGCACCCCTGTCAGAGAAGCAGCCAAGAGGACCCATGTCCCCTCCACCTCATGGCCACCGGTCACCCGTTGGGCTGGATGCATCTCCCAACTGCAGGAGCACATGAAGTCAGAGGGTTAACTGGAGCACACGTCACAGTCCAGCTTATTCCAGGGCAATGTCAGCAGTGACAAATTTTTGTATGTGTACAGAAATTACCAGAAAGATTCTAAAAAACTTGAAAGGCCTCTTCTGTGTAGTGGGGATGCAATGGGTGTGGGGTGAGGGATTTTACTTTCATTTTGTACCTTTTTCATGGCTTGAATTTTTAACTCTATGCAGATTACTTTTATAATAAAAAACAAAAAATCTTAAGTTTTTCATCAGAACAGGAAATCTAAGAGCTAGGAGAAACTTCAAGGACAGAGGTCTAGCTCAAATGCCAGTGGTCCCCCAGGTCTGCTGGGCCCCTGCCCATGGGGCCGCACAGGCCTGCCCACCTGCCTCGTCTTTGTCCTCCGTCACTTGGCCATCGTTAACTGCGGAACCACTCCTTCCGGGGGAACAGCTATTACTTGAAAATGAAGTTGGAAGCACTGTGCCCCACCAGCCTCTCACCCAGGGTCTGCATTCCAGCGAGGACGGGTCCAAGTCACCAGGGCCACAGAGGCAGGAGGTACAGGAAGGCCACCCTCCCCGCGTGCTGCGCACAGCACCCACTGCTTCCAGGCCAGCTCCGCCTCTCCACAGCCACAGCAGGTCCACTGCGAGCACCTGCACGAGCTCTGCCGTCCTGTCCCGCGGTCCTGTCCCCGTTTCCCATGGGGGAGGGCCCCTGCGCCCCTCCTGTCTGTCCTGAGGAGCTCAGCAGCCCCTCCCCAACAAGGTCCAGATGAGAAGCTGGGGCTCAGAAAGGGCTGCAGCCTGTGCAGCGTCACACAGAACATCAGGTCAGGCTGAGAACAGGGTCCTCTCTACTTGTCCTGAGAAGTGCAAGCAGAGCCAATGTCACTTCACACACACACACACACACACACACAGGTCTGGGGACCACTGGTGGGTCACAGCCAGGCTTCCAGCCCCCCTCCCTCCACCGCTCCACCTCCAGCTCACCCATCTTCCCTCACAGCCTCCCTTCGGGCCGCAGCCCCGCACACCACAAAGGGCAGACACTTACTCATCGCAGCAGCAGAGGGAAATGCACACAGCCATCCCAGTCCCAACCTGACGAAGCAACAAAGCTCCGGCCTCAGAAGGCCTCAGAGATGGGGTGGTCAAGACATAGTCTGCAAGATGAGCAAACAGTTAATCCAGTATATTAGTGACAAGATCTTTAAGGTTTATACCTCGGGGAACCCAGAGAGTGGCCTACACTAGGAAATGCGCCAATGGCTTAAAGGTGAGAAAGTGGCTTCAAGGAACCACTACACACAGTGAGAAAAACCAAAAACTTGCATTGGCAGCGTGGTGTGGAAACAGGAGCACAAAACTGGCCCCTTAGAACCATCTGGAGAGGGTACAGGGCAGTGAGCAAGGTGAAAGGGCAACTGCCAATCCCTTTGGCCAGTCGGGAACGCAAACCAAAAGCAGCCTGGAGGCTTAAGAGGGGATGTGCCCAAAGATACTTGTGACAATGTGACTTACATTCACAAAATGCTGGTACCGGCCACATGGCGGTGGCTGTAACAGGCTCACACCCTGGAAGGCCTCAGCCAGTGCGGGTAGGTGATGTCAGCCTGGATAACCGCCCACAATATAGCCTGATGTGGAAAAAATGACTACCAATCACAACCTCATAAAATAAACACAGGCATTTGGGCAGAAAGCAGAGAAGAGATATAGAAACAGTTTCAGAACTCAACAACTGAAAATGACCCCAATGGTACTTCAGTCAAATGCAAACTGAGAAGCCAGCGACTGTGGACGGGTGGGCGCAGGCGCAGGCCGGCGCCGGACAGTGAACCCCAGGCAGCGGGCTCTCCACACTGGAGGGGCGTTGTGGAATTCGGGTGTGCCAGCAACGCTGCAGCCGAACACAGGGAGCAAGGCTGGCCAACTGGCTCAGGGCAGCGGGGAGAAGCCGAGGTGCCAGGCAGAATGGCATCACACTTCGTTACACGAGGACACAGTGCAGCTGGGCTGGCCCAAAAAATAACAGGAGGGACAGGGCCCAAATGTCCCCGACACGAGAGAGTACCTTCTCGAGTGCCATGCAACAGTCATAAAAGTTGCCACACCGAACCTTAAGCAACAAAGAAAGGGAAATGTAGATTCAAAACAACAGAAATTGTACAGGTCACTTCCAATCATTCATTAAACTGATTATGACAGTTAAACATTTCAAACACTTGGAAATTTTAAAGCATACTCTTAAGTAACTATAGCCAAATTATACATCAGAACTGAAACCGTGAGACGTACAGGAAACAAAGACAACAAACTCTTTTACCAAATACAGATGGGGGGCCTTCAGGCACCCTACGGGCACGTCCTGAATCCCCACGCACCATCGCCTCCCGGACCCACCTCGCACTCCAGCTCAGTGGCTTTGCTCATGCCCTTCTCTCAGCGGGGAATGCTCTTCCTTACAGCTTCTTAGCCTTGAGTGAGAGCCCAGGGCTGGGCTTTCTGGCTTCACTCTGGGGCTGCACTGCACTCCCTCGCGGCTGTTACCGCAACTGTACCGGCTCATGATTTGTATAATCGCCAGCTGAGACCTGTCCCCATGAGAACGGGGCACCACGAAGGTGAGGACAGTCAGCTTGCTTGCCTGTGTCTGTGGGACCAGCTCAGTGTCCGGCCAAGGAGGATGTTGCTGGAGGGATCGTTAGAGATGGAAATGGGGGGATGAGGCAACAGCAGTTTGCTGTTTCCCTTCGCTGACGGCCTCCGTGTGCCTGCAGGCCCCAGCCCATCATCCTGGGCGGCATCAGAAGCCTGCCTTGGGAAGGCTCCACACGGAGGTCACCGTCCTGGCAGTGGGGCGCGGGGAGCTGAGAAGAACGTGAATGAATGAAGCATGCGATGCAAGACTAGAAAGAGTGACAAAAAAAAATCCAAGGAAAGCAGGTGGAAAGAACTAATGAAATAAAAGTAGAAATTAATAAATTACAAAATGAAAGCAGTTAAACTGCTTATTATATCTAAATCTGTTTCTTTGAAAAGGCCAGTAAAATAGATTTCTTTAAAGTCTATTCAAGATAAAGAAAAACTAGTAATAAAGTGAAAAAATATTTATAAGGAGGATATTAAAATGTAAAAAGAGAGTGTAGATTAATACATATGAAAAAGGCAATTTTTTTCAGAAAACTTTGAAGAACTGAATGTCGAATGAAGTAATACTTAAACAGTGAAATACTGACTAGCCCAGTAACTCAGGAAGAAATGGAAAAACCTTCAAAAGAACCGCTGAACCTCCGAAAAGAGGCAGTGGCCCGGGTGGCGCAGGGCACGCCGCTCTGCCGCGGGCGCAGGGGAGGTCGGGGGCCGGCTGGCCGCCCTATCTCCGTCCTGACGGGCAGGCACCGCAGCGCCCCTCACTCAGACCGCCTGCACCATGCCACCTGTTGCAGCTTCAGGAAAACTGCAAGTTAGGTTCTAAAACTACGTTTGTCCCCAGTTTATCACTGAGGAAAACTGGCTTCAAGAATTTAAGAAATTTGGCCCAAGTCACATGCTATTAAGTGGCAAACCAGAGTCCGGCTCAACGGTGTGCTCTTAGCCTCTGCTCTTCGCTGTGTCTCTGGCTTTCCTGATATCCTGATACCTTGATACCAAAACCTGCCTTACAACGCCCCAGGCCCCAGTGGACCTTCCGCTTCACTTCTATCTTGAAGGACTAAAGCTCCTGGCCAGGGAGTGGTTTGTTTCAACGATCGCAGGAGGGCTTCATACTCCATTAATACAATTAAATCATGAGAAGACGACAGGAGAAAAACCTGATTGATGCTCATCTCAAAAGACGCAGGAAAGACATTTGGATAAATCCGGTATTTACCACCGACTTAAACAACCACCACTTCTGAGCAAACTCACAGTAGGTGGTCCCAGCACACCTAGCGGGCCCTGCCCGCTGACTCCGCCGGTTGCACCGGTGCAGCGCGCCCCGCCCACTTCCTGGTTAAGGGTCGCCCTCTTTCTCCGCCTCCAGACACCTGTGGTCTCACAGGGACCACCTTCCCAAATCTTAATCATTCATACAGCACCTTGAGGTTTTTTGCCATGCCTGAGTACAGCCAGTCCTTTTTTCTTTTTCCCTAAATTCAGTCACTTAAAATATAAATATTTTGTATCAAAAGACACGATGAAGTAGAAATACAACCCACAGCTATAGGATAAAATATCTGCACAAACCATACATCCGATAAGGATCTAGTATACAGAATATATAAAGAACTGTTAGGTTTTACACCTGAAATTAATATTATGTCAACTATACCTAAATAAAAATTTTTTAATGAAAAAAAACTCTTAAAACTCAATAATAAAAAGACAAATCCCCAATTAAAAAGTGGATGAAGGATCAGCATAGACACTTCTCCAGAAAAGATTAGGACACAGCCAACAAACACATGAAAAGGTGCTTGACCTTCATCCTTGGTCAGAGAAATGCACACCAAAACTCCATGAGGTACCAATTCATGCCCATTAGGAAGGCTATAATCAAAAAGATAGATAAGAACAGGTGTTGTTGAGAACATGGAGGAATCCTCACAAATTTCTGGTGGGAATGTAAAATGGTACAGCTACACTGGAAAACAGTTTGGCAATCCATCAAAAAGTTAAACACAGTTATTATATTACCCAGCAATTCTGCTCCTAGATGTATACCAAAAAGAATTTAAAACGTATGTTCAAACAAAAGCTCACAGACACATTATTCATTATAGCCAACAAAGAGGAAACAACCCAAATGTCCAACTGAAGAATGGGTAAACAGGTGGTATAGTCATGCAGTGGAATGTGGAATATTATTTAGTCATAAAAAGTTACGAAGCACTGATCCCAATTCTTAGCAGATAATGTGATTATCCCTTCTTACAGATGGGGAACCGAGGTAGGAGATGATCACACAGAAAATAAATAAGAGGTGGGTCTTGCATTAGAACAGGATCATCTGACTCAAAATCCTGCCCTTTTAGCCAAGATGCTACATATTGCCTCCCAACTGGCCCTACAATTCAAGTTCAGCATATTTATTTAAATACACACATACACATGCACACACATAAAACAAGTCTTACCATATGCTACCATAATAAAAAAATGTAATAGAAAAACATATCTAACTAAATACAGAATGTAACATTTCTAGAACTAATTTTAAGTCTAAAATTCCTGAGGAATGTGAAACATCATCCAGTCTTGAACAGAGAGGACAGTTCCTCAATAGGAAGTCTCAATATCATAACATATTTATAGATGTAATGCAATTCCAATAAAAATTTACATGCTCTAAAAAAGAATGATGGGGCCTGTATTACAATATAGTAGAATCAGATATTATAAAGCTAATGTAATTAAGGCATTGGGTTGGCAAAGAAAAGACAGTTTGGTGGAACAGATTGGAATGTTCAGAAACAGACTTAAAGTATTCAGTCCTTAATTAACAGGTGGCATTTCAAATCAGTAGAAAAAGTGGAATTTACTCAGTAAATGATGCTGGGGAAACTGGTTAGCCATTTTGAAATAACTAGATTAGATTCTTACCTCATACTGGCCACCAAAACAACTTCTAGGTGGATAAAGTGTTGAATGTCGGAAATGAAATCACAAAGGAACCAGAGGAAAATACAGGATAACACCAGTAACACCATGACAATAAAAGACAGATTCGATTAGAAGATTGAGAAGTCCCCACAAGATCCAACATGTACATCTAAAAGGCGCTCTACTAGGAAGACTTTCATAATACATAAGGGTAATGGCGGCAAGGGAAGAGCTCTCAGGAAGTGAAAATTTAGTACAGCACAAAGCAGACACACAGATCCGTTGACAAATACAGGTTTCCTTCAGAATCAAAAGTTGCAAATCAAAGCACTGAGACTGTTTTTTGCCTTCGAAACTGGTCAGGCCAAGGTTGGGCGGAAGCGCTGCTGCTGCCTCTCTGGGGAGGGCTGAGCCAGGGCGGCCTTTACGGGGGGTGCTTGGCCATCTAGTCAAAAGCCTTCCCACTGGTCACACCCTCTGGGCCAGTAATGTCACTGCTAAGAAATTAGATCAAGGAAATAATCCGATTCGTGCAAAACAAGGCCTTTGAAAACAGAGAACAGCATCCTATTTCAACATGTCAGAAAAAAATACCAATCAGAAATCAGAACAGTATTTGGTTAAGAAGCAAGCCCATGCACATTGTTTCTGAAGCAGACTCAGGCCACCTCTGACCTCTGTGTAACAGTAAAGTGAGGAGATGGCTTGGCTGGCTTGCTTCCCAGCCCTTTTGGTTGGGCCTCTACTACAGACGCCTACAGCCAGCCCAGGTATGGCACGGTGGGAGGACTCTGAGAAGCCTCAGCTGTCCCCTCACCACAAGGGCCAGGCTGGTGAGCAGACTGAAGAGACACACAGGCCCCACCTCAGCAGCCCCTGAAGGAACTACTGTGTGCTGAACAGGACGATGTGCACACGACGGTCTTGAGGCAATGAAGAAATGGCAAATTCTGGTCTGTATAGTAAGAAAGGTAAGGTAGAAAGCATGAGATATGTTTTATAAATAGTTCCAGTGGGTTGTGGACAGGAGAAAAGGGTGGTTCAGGGGTTGAGCATGGGGTTAGTGCAGGTCCCCAGAAGAGGATTCCATTTAGCCTTTATGGGTGCACGAACTCCCCAGGGACACAGAGACCGCCACACAGGGGCAGAGGTTCAGAACACAAACCCTGCTAGTCCAACTCTTCTCCTAGAATGTGACCTTCTAGAACATGCCCATTTCATTCTCTACATTGAGTTTGCATAAATACATTGACATTTTTAGTAAGACAGTGTGTTTAGGAGCATTTCATCTGTAAAGTCCACTGAACTGCACATTACCAGTTTGACAGCAGTAAGTAACCGCTAGGCACAGCAAATAAAAGAAAGTGCTCTGTGGTGGAGGTGGGCGTTATGACTAGTGTGGGGGCTGCCAGGAGGTGGGACAGGAGATCCAGATACACATCAATAGGGACATGGCTAAAATTACTATAACATGCACAAGATTAAATATTTTGGAGCATGAAAATAATTAGGTAGTTGCAGACAGACCAAGACCAGCCTAGCTGACCACAGTTTCTATATATTACAAAACCCAATGAAACATACAGAAATGGGAGGACATACCTTATTCTTGCACAGGAAGACAAAGGCAGGAAGACAGCATAGAGATGTGAAAGTGGATGTGCAAAAATAACCAGAAAAATTCTGGAAAAGTAGAATGAAGTAGGGCTATCCTTATCATGTAACAAATTAAAACTGGAACTGGCACATTAATAGAAGATCAATGATGGACAGATATATGCATCAGTAAATGGTGTAGGGACAAGAGGCTGGCCATTCCTAAGTCATTCATTATACCAAAATTAAGTCCAGATACATCTAAGATTAAAATAAGAATAGAACCTTTAAAGAATTGGTACAAAACATAAGGTTTAACACAAAATAACCTTGAGCTGGATTAGCCTTTCTGAACTACTCATAAAATCCAGAACATATAAAAGAAAACATTGATAAGTATAAATATACTTATTTATATTAGAGAGAGACATCACTGTGTCTCCTACAGGGTTTGAGTGTTTAACATGTGCAGGTATTACCTGTAAGTTAAATAAATTGGAAGAAAACAGCAGAGCCTTTGCCCTTGGGGTCAGCACAGAGCAGAGGCTGGGTCTTGCTTTGACACACAGGGAGCAGGTCACACAGCAGCCACATCGACAGACGAGTAAGGGGGTGCATCAATCCCCCAGAGGCTGAGACAGGTAAGCATAAGGCTGTGGGGGCAAATCGGGGCTTTCAGTTCCCAACTTAACATTCCCTGTGACCCAGTGAGGCGAGAACAGCCGGAGTGGGTTCACACCTGTGCTCCTGGCATTGGTGGCCTCTTAGGGAGAGAGAGCTTGTGCTTCGATGGAAAGCACCCAAGGCTGTGCAAGCAGAAAGGCAGGGGCGAGCCGACCTGCCCCAGCGAACGCAGGCCTTCTCCACGGAGGACTAGAAACACCTACAGGCAGAAGCCAGGTAAGATTTCAACAGACCAAACAAACAAGATAAATAATTAAATGCCACTTTTTGCAAATGTCACAGTTGCTTTCCTAGAATAGTTGCTTTAGATCTGCTTAGGAGAAACGCCAGGAAGTAGACTCTGAGTCTGGTTAGGTCCATTCTTGTTTTGTGCCAAATAAGTCAGACACCATCTTGTACTGAATTCCGGTATGGAAAGGCAGTTTTAGCAAGTAAACAGTTTTAGTTAGATTCCACCGCATGTCAGAGGGCCAGCATTATTCTACTTTGGCAGCAGAAACCCTCAATCCACCTCACAGGACTGAGAGCCCCAGACCCAGACAGCGCAGGGCGGGCAGAGACTTGGTGCTGCGGGGGGTGGGAGGGGCTGCGGACACCTGCGGCTTTGCAAATAGGGAGCTCTCACTCCGCCTCCCAGCATTACTACCCTAAGGCGAGCATCAGCAGGCGGTAGGAAGCTCGCTGCACAAAGGCCAGAGAGCCCTACAGATGCCCTAAAGGCCTATCAATAAATAGGAAAATGGTTAAAATAATTACAAACACGTCAAGATGAAATATTATGGAGCCAGGAAAATAATAAAGTAGTTACAAAACAGTCTGTCTTGTATGATTCCACATTAGAGCAGATAATAATAATAGGATAAATTTTAGTACTTCCTGGAGGGAAAATGTCTGAAGAAAATATAAATGAAGTTGTCATTAGTAGTTATCTGGGGAGAGGAATTACAGAGAACTTTTATTTTATACATTGTGTTCTGTAGTGTTTAAATTTTAAATACAAAAGTAGTAGCTTGTAAAAAGATGAAAATAAATTCTGCCACAAACATACACCTCATAGTCCCATTACAACATCACAGAGTATAGTAACATTAGCCATGAACTTACGTAAATCTGCAAATTGTAGGTCCCTTCAGAAGAGCTGCAGCAATGCAGAGAAGCAGACAACAAAGCCATGTGTGACATGGATGCAGAACATTTGGCATAAAAAAATTACATCTCAATAAAATGATAACTATTGTGTTTTTGATCCTGTGGCCCCTATCAGCACCAAACCTACACGTGTTAAACCCTCAGATGACAAGAACCCATTGTACCAATTCAAGTCTATGTGGGTCACTGAATACATGACAGATTAAAGGAGGGAACTGGCAGAAGTCAAAAGGCGCTATACAGAGCATCGGAAAGGATGTGGACAAAAAGATACTGTCATCGTCAGGTACGCAAATTTGTGCACCCACCCTGGAGAATGGAGCAGAATAGAGAGAGTCTGATCCACGTCCCATGACTCGGCACCTACCCCATGAAACACGCATGTCATACAAGGACGACATCACACAGTATTCTTTGAAACTTAAAGAGATTGGAAAGAGTGCAAATATCCATCAGTGTCAGAACAGCTAAGTAACCCATGGCCAGTCCACGTGAAGGAACACTATGCTGATTAACCGAATGACGGTTCTGTTTCCAATATGAATCTCCCTATTGTTCGACAAAAAAGGCAAGTCAATAGTGACATACAGTGTACAGTAGTATTATATAGAAGTTAATGCTTCCCCATATATGTAGAAAAGAGAAAGAAAAACAGGGCAACATCTTCTTTAGATGTGGATAAAGGAAAAGATCTGGCAGGAAGTCGTGCAAATGGGTAACACTGCTCACTGCTGCGGGGACAGGGTTTGGGGATTAGTGGTGCTGATTTTAGCCAAGTTTTAGCTCTGTGTAGAGAGCGAGCACCACCTGTCATTTACCTAATTACACTTACCAGAAGAGACGCAATGGGAAAACTGATGAATTACCTGTAAGAGAGTCACACAGTGGACTCTACCCAGCAAGCAAACCAAATGCAGTACACACTGGCAAAGAATGAATCTTAACATCATATTAAATGAGAAAAACCCCAGAAGCTTATTTAAAACATAAGGGCTTTTAAAGGGAGCATTACGATTAGCATGTATAATGTTGGGGGAGGGCTGTGCAACAGAGAAGACAAGTAGTGACTCTACAGCATCTTACTAGGCTGATGGGCAGTGACTGTAATGGGGTGTGTGGGGGGGACTTTGTGATGGGGGGAGCCTAGTAAACATAATATTGCTCATGTAATTGTAGATTAATGATACAAAAAAAAAAACCCCAAAAAACATAAGGGCTTTTCTGAAGGCTTTAGAAGGTAGAAATGGAAAGAGCAGGGGTTCCAAGCCCTGCCTCAAAACTGTTTACTTATTTATTCTCTGCTTATAATTCTTGGGTAAATGGTCAGAGTGAAGGTAGAACAAAGAAGGTGCCAAGTAAATGAGACACAGGCCACCTAAGACAGATGAAACGACACTTCCTGCCCGAGAAATGGGGGAACCGAATGCAGCACATTATTGTTTGGTGATTTTGGTTTAATAATTTTAAATCTTTTAACTCACCCATGAAGAGTAAGAAAAGAAACAGTTTTATTTACTATTCATTTTTTTCCCTCCTGTGGATGAAGTAACTGAAGCCTAGAGAACTGAACTAGTGCTACTGAACTGTTCAAATTATTTTTGCATTAACAGTACATGTTGAGTATCTTTTTCCACATTAAAAACTTTCTGAATTATGGTTTCCTTACACTGTTTAACAATGTTTGCTGTTTAAAAAAACAAACTGAATTCAAACCATGGTGGTTTCTCAGCAGCCCTTACGTGTACATTTAGCACTAACTCTGGGTGTTGTGCCTCTTGTGAGACGGAGCTTCAGTTTGTTACCTTCATAGACTCATTTAACGAAACCATTCAATAAACCAAATCTGCTTTTGTTGGAAAAAAACAACCACCACTATAATGCCTTTTCCATAAAGGTTAAAAACAACTGAAATGAAAATAGATACTTTGAAAACACATTTAGGTAAGGTTTTTTGAAAATAATATAAACTTAGATTTCAGGATGATAATTACCTTGGACTCAGGTAGGCAGGGGGATGGGAGGGTGAGACGACCACGTAGGTAAAGGAAGGGCCTGTCTAAAGCCCCAGTTTTCATAATAAATAGAAGATTCAGAAATGTTTACCACATTATTAGAGACATCAAGGAAGAAAGTAAAAGAAAATGTCCTGACCCAAATATCACCCCAGCTCTGAGGAGGTTCCAAAGAGGAGGGAATATTTTTGCTTTAAGGAGTATCATAGCCTCTACTTACTAGATTTTAAAACATAATAAACAGTAATATTCATTAAAATTTGATGTATTTGATCAGAAACAACAAAACCCAGAGGCTAAAAAGCAGATTCAGGCAGATAATAAGCTAATATCAACAGTTGTGGAGCAAAAGAGCAAAGACAGCATTTACTTAATAGAAGTTTGACGTTTCGGCTTTCTCAGTGTAAACAGTTAACTTAGATCCACTCCTAGGCTGGATTCATAATCCCTTAAGTGGTGAAAACTGTGTGAGCACATGCAGGCTTGGCCACTGAAGAAAAGGTGATGAGAAACAGAACAACAGACTTCTTAGTTATTATTAGATTGTTGGGCTGATCTCTTAAAAGTCCTTGGGGATACTTTTTGTGCCAACAATTACAGGGAAAATGAGAATAAGTTAGACAATTATAACTGACAAAAACTTACCTTCTCAACTCTACAGAGAATTCACGATTATACAAATCAATATGGAAATTTCATATGGTAAGTGGCCAAAGAGGAAAAGTACAGATGGTCAATCAAGTAGTACAACAGCCACACTAGCTATTAATTACAGACACAGAAATTAAGACTTCTAAACATATTTCATAACACTGGATTTGGCAATGATTTCTTGGCCGTGGGCACCAAAAGCACAGGCAACAAAAGTAAAAATAGGTAAACTGTATTACTTGAAAATTTAAAACTTCTGGGCATCAAAGGACACAATCAATTGAGTGAAAAGGCACCATACGACGAAATGGGAGAAAACATTGGTAAATCATATGTCTGATAAAGGATTGATACCCGGACTATATTAAGACGCCTTACAAATCAACAACAAAAGACCAAATAGCCCAGTTTAAAATATGGGCAAAGGTCTTGAGAAAACATTTCTCCAAAGAAGATATACAAGTGGCCAATAGCACAGGAAAAGATGCTCAACATCACTAATTACCAAAGAAATGCAAACCAAAACCACAATAAAATCACCTCACACCCATGAGGGTGGCTACTCAAAATAACAGAAAATCACAAGTGTTGGTAAAGATGTGGAAAATTGGAATCCTTGCAATCCTTGAATGTAATGGTGCAGCTGCTCTGGAAAACAGTATGGCATTCCCCTAAAATTAAAAATAGAAATAGCGTATGAACCAGCAATACTGCTTCTGGATACACAGCCAGGAGAACTGAAAGCAGGGTCCCAAAGAGGGATTCATACACTCATGTGCACAGCAGCATTTTCACAATAACCAACAGGTGGGAGCAATGCAAGCATTCGACGGATGAACAAACGAAATACGGTATATACATACAATGGAGTGTTATGCAGCTCTTTTAAAAAGGAAGAAAATTTTGATGCATGCTGTAACATACAGGAACCTTGAGGATATTATGCTAAGTAAAATAAGCCAGTCACAAAAAGACAAATACTGTATGATTCCACTCAGTATGTGTGAGGTAGCTACTCATAGAGACAAAGTAAAAAGGCTATTGCCAGGGGCTGGGGGAGGGGAGGGCAGAAGGAATGGAGAGTTTAATGGGCACAGAGTTTCAGTTTTGCAAGATGAAAAAGTTCTAGAGATTGGTTGCACAACAATGTGAATATACTTAACACTACTAAATTGTACACTTAAAATGGTAAAGGTGGCAAATTTTGTGTATTTTACCACAAATTTTTTAAAAAGTTGTAAAGAGTAAATAAAATTGAAAAAGCCTGATATCAGTAATGATGTAGGGAAATGGATATATGCACAAGAGGAAGTGCAAGCTGTCTGGAGAGTTTCTGAGTCTGTGACAGGAGTTACAAAACCATGCGTGGTTACTGACTGGGCACTGCCACTCTGGGAAACAGACATGTACCCCAGGTTCACAGAGCTGCACACAGCAGCACAACCTAAAGTGGAACACTGCTTACAACTTAGGAGCCTAAGCAAGCAGCCCGTGGGATAACACAGTCATTCATTCATGATATTTTTTTTGAGGTCATGGACCCTTCAACAAACTTATTCTCTCCACAGAAAATATACATAGAGTTTGGAGCACTCACCTCTGGAAGGCCATCCATGGAATTCGTGAGGGAGAACTACAACCCTGAGGAAAAGCCACTTCCAAAGTGTTTGTGGACTGTGCTGATATAGGGGAATGCGAATGGAAACTAACTAAATGTAAAACCAGAATAGACACACTGATTATCACTATATGCAGGGCCCAGAGCAAGGCTGGCGGCCATAGAGGGAGGGGAGGAGGAACCCGGAGAAAGGGGCTAGATCTGAGGCTGGACAATGAAGGAGAGGAAGGAATCACCTTGTGAACACACAGTGAAGAGCACCTGGGTGTCAAATACATATTCATTTACCCATATTTCACAGATGAGGTTTGGCAAGGTCATATAACTTGCTCCCAGCCATAAAGCTGCCAACTGCCCAAGTCAGGAGTAGAACCCAGATGCATCCTCCTGCACAAGCTTTTGATCCCCCCAACGTGCCGGGGTTGCCATAGGTCAAAACGGTTAGGATGGGGGAATGGGGAGTCATGGAAGCGCAAAACCCAACCCTATTAGAAGACAATACCTGCCTATCTCCAGATCTTCAATGAGCTGCCCCGCTGTGACAGCTCTCACGGCTCCCTGCCACTCCATCATCCGGCCGCAGGCAGGCAGTCACCAGGAAGGAGCAAGCCCTGGGGGTTCTGAAGGCGTGAGCACCCACCCAGAGACTGCAGTGAAGTCCAGGTGGATTACAGGTTTAAGTGTAAAAAATGTAACCATGTAAGTGCCACAAGAAAATATAGAATAATATATACTTTTGGGCTGGAGAGATCTAAAGTGAAATACCACATACAGAAAAGCCATAGTTGCAACCTCAGAAAAACCAACTTTTGGTTTTCAACTTTTGGTTGAAACCCAACAAACAAAATGAAAAGGTGATCTATAAAGTGGAAAAAAATACTTGCATCAAATATAAAGGATTAATATCCTTAATATGTAAGTGCTCTTAAAAAACCACCAACAGAAAAATGAGCAATTAAGAAGTGCAAAGTCACACATGCATGCACTCATACACACACAAACTGCAAATGGCCAATAAACACATAGACGTTCAGTCTCTCACTAGCAGCAAAGTAGTGCTCACACCCACAGTAGCCTGCATCTCCCCAGAAGACAATGTGGCATTATGAACCTGAGTCTAAAGAAGTTTGACACAGGCATTTCATGTGTAGGAGTGTATTCATGTATCATAAATAATATCAGATGTGATAAAGCCTGAGAAGGTCATCACAGCATTACTTAAGAGAAAAATACAACTGGAAAATAATGTTCACTATATAGGAAGTGAAAAGAGTTGCAAAACATTTTATAATATAATCCCATTTCTGTTAAAGAAAACCTTATTTTCCTGTTCATAGAGGAAACTGTAGAAGTAAGTATGCCAATAATAATGAATGCACGATTGTTTTTTCCATTTTCTTATTTGTAAATCTTACAATAAACCCTTTTTTCCACATGAGAACTCCATTAAGAGCTATTTAAAAGAAAGGTACCAAAGGCGGTGCACAGCTGAGGTGCCTGGAGAGTGGGGCGGCCAGTGGGCAGCAGGCACTGTCCCACTCAGCAAGCCAGATGTAGTGGAGGCACCCCTACCCTCAGTGAGGCCAAGGCCACCCTCCCAGGGATGCACATCGTCACATTTTTGTCATTTTTGGTTATTTTGCTATCTTCCTCCTGCCACTTCCAGTCTGCATCAGTATTTTTTGTGTGTTAAATATGAACATTTAAAACATGCCACAAATACCTTTAAATATTTTTGGTATTTCCTTTGATAACTAGTACTGCCCAAGGTCAGATTCCTCCAGAACTTAAGTACACACAGAGAGGACAGCTGGGCATAAAAGGTCCTAGGCGTCCCGTATGTCCATGGTCAGTAGAGAAACCAAGGGTGGCGGACAGGGTGCAGCATTACTTTCCATTTGCTCCAGATCACCATTCTCTACCTAATTGCTTCAAGCCCACTCCATGAATTTCCCTGCATCACCCACTGCCACCTGGAATTCAGAGGAAGGCGGACTTCACGTCTATGCATGAGATGCAAACTGATGAGCAACGATCAGCACGGCTGTCAACACCTGCCACACATCCCACCCAACCTGAGGATAAAGAACAGGTAAAGCTCCGGAGTCCAAAGGATCTCAGGAGCCCTTAGATTGGGTGGAGGCCAGGGGGCCGTGAGTGCAGCTTTTAGGACCTACTCTCAGGCTCTGTATCAACAAAACCCACTCCATCCCTTCCAATGCTGAACATTTATACCACTGTGGAAAAATTATCAGTTTGCTATAGTTGCTAGGAAACTACCATTTACACAGAGGCATTTATAGCAATTACCTCAAGGATGGAATCAAGTTTTATAATAATGGTATAAAAAAAACAGAAAAATGAGTTCTGAAGAGAGGGGAGGGCAGACAGAGAGGGGCTGGGGTAAAAAATAAAAAGCAAAGAAAAGGGCTAAGTTAGGAAAGGAGACCTGGGTTGTTCTGGGGGACCAAGGAACAGGGTAGCGTGCAGGAAGGATCCTCAGGCCTGCACACAGTGGTGCCCACTCTTGGCAGAGCCACGCACTCCGGACAGGCAGCTTGCTGGCCGGCTCAGAGACTCCCTCTTCCCCGCAGCTAACTCGTTTCCCAGTAGCAAACCCATGAAGAGTTCACAAGGACCCACAAGGCAAACTGGACCAGACCGAGGAGGGCAGCCGGGAGGGGCCCCTCCCCACTGCTCTTGGGATTCTCCGGACCCTGCTCTCCCACCCTCACGGGCTCTCGCCTATGCCACCTGTTACCCTCCCTTCCCAGGTAAGCTCCCCTTTCCACAGCCTTTGACCAGAAGCCTTGGCAGAGGCTGGCAGTGGTTTCTATTCTGACTCCAAAGTTTATCTCCTGTGAGGCAAAACCTTAGGAGCCAAGAGTAAATGCGCCACAGCAATACAATCATTAGCAACCAGGGTGAAGAGCTGCTGCCACTTCCCCACCCGGGACGCAGACCCAGTTTGGAGGGCACATTCCGCATTCCCAGCGCTCCTCCTCCAGCCCCCTACAGAGCCTTGGCCTGCTTAGCACAGCACTTCCATGTACCATGTAACTGGACCTCACAAGAAAAACATTTAAGCCAAAGTCACTCTTTGTGAGAACTGTGCTCAGACCCAAATCCCAGAGACACTCTAGCTCCCACCAAAGAGAAAATGACACATTTTATTTAGACTGTTTACCCTAAGCAAACAAAAATAGGTCCCCTTTTTGACAATACCATTTGGCAATCTACCCAGGTGAAGTTCCAGGATATTACAAAGTACTCCCTGACCTTCAGTGTCCTCCACAGGCTGGGTGGTTTGGCCTCACCCATCACACACTTGGAACAGTGAGCGGAGCCTCCTCCCCACCCACCAGGCTACAGCCCATTCAGGACCCACCAGTCCCATTTGAGATTTCCATGCTTCCCTGAATGACTTCCATCATTTGGAGCTACTGAAAAGTGAAACTATACATAAATCTATGATATGAAGATACATCCAACCCTCATTATGGGGGTAACCGGATTTACAGAAAGTAAAAAAACATAACATTGCAATACAATTCCAATGAGTTTAGAACTCAAACCTTTATTTGTACTGTAAAGGGGAAGAAAAACTGATTAGTAATCAGGTACATGACTTAACAAGATTATTTACCATACAGAGCAACATACAAGCACTTTACCTCCTTTTACAGTTGCAATGTCTCAAACAACACACCCAGAACGTATTTCCCCGCATAGGTAAGACTGATGCTCTTTAAATTAATGACAGTAACTATTCCACATGCAACTGGTCATTAACTGAACTGTCATGCCAACATTTTTAAACATGAAAAAAGAATCCGGAAAAACCGTAAGAGCAGGGAGTATTAGGGATTTAAAATTTTTAAATGAAATGTAAGGGGAGCAGCATGTAAAAAAGCCATTGGTATTACTTTATCTAGCAATTCAACAGATGCACAAGTAGGGTCATAAAGGATAATTTTCTCCGAATTTTTACAAACAGACCACATGTGGTAAAGTTCCCTCCCAACCAGTCACCCCTTTTGCTCATTCCTGAAACTGATTTTGGTGGGGTTACCCCCTAGTACTGGGTCATTAAAAGCACAAACATTAAAACTAAAGATGTAACATATTATTAACTCCAACCTTAAGCAAGGGTACATGGATTGTTTGCTACCAGATATTAATTTTATAGTGACCACAAAAAGGTCATTCCATTCTTGTTACAAAGACTCTGAAAAGAAGTAAGAGCTTTTGCTGTTAATGACCACAGTGGCGTGGCAGGAAGTAACATACAAAATTCCTTTAGAAATCATTGCATTTTCACTTTGCTCAGAATTCTCAGTCACAAAATCTCTGCAAACAAATGTTCCAAACCTATTAAGAGTACATCTCAAGTACACACCATCTCATCTTACATACTTTTAATAAAAGCCCACAATTTGGGCATTTAGTCTTCTAAGACTCACTGCTCCTGAATATTGCATGCCTTCACAGCTTCAGATGAACCATCTAAGAAGCTTGCAAAGCAGCGAAGGATGTTATCTGCTGATGGAAGTTTCTGACAGCCAACTTTCAAGTGACTGATACTCAGGTTTTCATTTAATACCTTTTCAGTTTCCCCACCTTGCAACAAAGCAAAACAATTTTGCTTTGTTCCCTTCACTTTAGAGTTCTAAGCACCATTAGAAAGTTTCCAAGCAGCTTTTGTGCTTCCAATGACAACTTAACCAGCGTTACAGTATCACTAGGTACTAACTAGTAATTTTCTTCACCCATGAGTCTACAACATTCCCCAGAGCTCTACTACTGGTCTTTTTCACAAAGAATTCCCTTCAAACCCACAAACTGATTTTGGTGGGGTTACCCCCTAGTACTGGGTCATTAAAAGCACAAACATTAAAACTAAAGATGTAACATATTATTAACTCCAACCTTAAGCAAGGGTACATGGATTGTTTGCTACCAGATACTAATTTTATAGTGACCACAAAAAGGTCATTCCATTCTTGTTACAAAGACTCTGAAAAGAGGAAGAGCTTTTGCTGTTAATGACCACAGTGGCGTGGCATGAAGTAACATACAAAATTCCTTTAGAAATCATTGCATTTTCACTTTGCTCAGAATTCTCACTTGCTCAGGTCCCCCCACTCTCTGCAACATACACCCAACCCAACCAACCCTCTCCCTGGTCTCCATCTTTCTCCCCACCCCATGCCAGTGCCCTCACCCCAGGCTCCTCCCATTAACACCAAGATTGCTTTCAAATTTCAACTTAAAAAAAAAGTAAAAAATGAATCACAGATTAACCAGTACCCCCACCGTTCTGCAACGCAATAGGAATGCCCAAACTAGGCTTGCCATTTCTAAAAGAATCTGGGCATGACCAACCTGTACCCTCCCAGACCACAGAACACAATGACCCCCCAACACCCAACTAATTTGCCAGTCTGCTCGTCTAAATATTTGCTGAAGGCATTTCAAGCTGGAACACTTTTCCAACACACAGGTTACAGCATCACACTAATAATTCCTCTGGCCAATACACAGGCAGGCAGGCGGGCAGGTGAGTGGGTCACTGGGCTCCATCTGCAAGCTCCATCTAGAAGGCATCACTCTGCGTTGCGGCACCAACGTTAAAATGTTCTACAGCTTAAGAATCTTCTCGAAGCAAGGTTCGTAGCACAGAACTAATATGACAGGAGGCTCAATATAGAAGATGCAGCATCTGAAAACCTCCATCCTAGAAAAGGAGGGGTGCCTGGAGGTTGGCGCTCACGTAGCATTCAAAGCAGCACACCTGCTGAAGGCCCAGGATGCAGCTGCTCTGGACTTTTTTTAGAGACTGCCCTCTCATAAGCTCATCTGAAAACCTTAGGTGGTGGCCTCCTGAATACAGGGCTTCCTGAGCACGGCCTGGAAACATGACATTGGAGAATTTCCACCTCCTAAGCCTCTGGAAATTCAATCTGCAGACATCAATTTAGGCGGCCTCTCTCCTTCAGGGTCTCCCCTCCTGCACTGCTACGACTCACTGGCCAAGCGCTCCATTTCTCCTGGTGCCATCTGATCGCCATGATGAACGCTACAGTAACAAACCGCGGTCCACGAAGCATTTCAGTAATACGGCTGGTGCCATCGCTGCGGGCCCACCCGCGCGTGCCCGTTCAATCCCACCTCCACAGGCAGGCAAACCAACCCGCCCCACCCGCGTCTCAGTGGGGAGTGCCTATCCTCCTCCATTACCAGGAATACCGGCTCCAACAGGGACGGAGCAATTTTCCCAAGCTTACCGGATTACCAGAAGCAATGTTTTAAGTGAACGGTTAACCTTGAGAGGTAAAGGTAGGGGGGGCAGAGTGAGGTCACAGAAGTTAGCACGGAACCTAGAGGAAAAGTCCAAAGGGAAGCACTGCCACCTGGAAAATAAAGGGTGGGTCAATTTCCTCCGCAGGCACACATCCTGCCTCGGCAGCCCCCCTGCCAAGACACACTACGTGCCACAGCAGTAAGCGCTTAGGGTGGCACCTTACCTACTGATTCATTCCAGAGACCACCCTCTCCTCTGACCAGGGGTCTGGCCCCGCACACACCTGGGATCCACCGTGCTGGGCCTGGCCTGGACCCGGTCCCAGGCGAGCCAAAATTACATACCACCCTGGGCCAGGGCTGTCAGCCCCACGAAGCTAAGTTCAGTTTCCACAAGACCAGGCCTCATCCCCAGGTGGGTTCACAACCCTTTGTCTGGAAAAAAACGGGGGCTGCTGGTAATGACGACTTCAGGATCAGTCCGCCCAGCCCAGCAGCGGCCCTGCACCCACGGCCTTCCTCCCTGATCCATCTCCAGGACATCGGCTGCCCACTTCCACGTCTTCTCCATCAGAGACCCCTCTCTCCTCCGCCCCTTCTAAATCTCTGCCTTTCTGCCTCCATACAAAGCAGGGTGCTGGAGTGTAGGAGTGGCACCCTCCATGAGGTCAAGTCCCCCTTCTCCGGTGGACAGCCTGGGCTGTAGTCCTCCCCCTGCGTTCCTGGGGACACTGCCATGCGGCTTTCCCCAGCAGTCCTCCCCAAACCTGGTCTCCTCTTTGGCCTTCCCTCTCCTCGTACCCCCAACACCCTCAGTCTCATCTAACCCTGCCATCACGCCCCAGCTGAGGCTTGAAGCCCTAATCTGGCCTCTTCCTCCCGCAATAATACAGAGCGCGGCCCTCCCTCTGGCTAACTCCTGAGAGACAGGCCACAAACTTTTTTGCTTTTATAGCCCTGGGCCGCATCACCCGTGACCTTACTCAGCGGGACGATTCCTCCACTGCCACTGGAAAAAAGTTCCTCCCTGCCCCTGCCCTACGCGGTGTCTTGGGGCG